TCCTGGCGAGCAGACATGCAGGCATACGGTGACGCACACAGCGATAATGTGTCCACAACCTCAGGCTTAAAAGATGGGAAGGAACATCAAAGTGAAGAAAGACAAGTGGGGAGGACAGAAGGCTGTTTCAAAGACAAAGATAGGAAAGGTAGAAAAAAGGTGAGGTAAGTACTGTGGAAGAAGTCGAATAAGAAATATATTGAGGTGATGGCAGTTTGAAGTCCAAAGTCAACTGCAGAATAATAGGCGTTTTTGCCTTATAAGTATAGGTCGTCCAGGGTGCACCACGTGGAGGTAAGTCTATTGCAAACACACCTGAGAAGAGGTTATATATAGGCCACTGTATGAATAGATATATTGGCCAAAGCTAGAAATCTCAAAGGAACCGTCGTAAAAGCTAGCTGTGCGAGTATGTGAGCATTTACTATCCTTTATGGCGTTACTTTGCTCTAATTTGAAATAATCATAAACAGTGATTGGTCCACAATTCGTTTAGATTAACTCACGTTGAATGTAATCATATCTAAGCTTTCTGCCTGTATGTAAAAAAGTAACTTTTGATAAATGCATAAACTGGTGTGTGCCGAAATTTTATTGCAATAGTAGATGGCGGTTTTAAAGGGAACGATCGGCTCCACTTAAATCGTCTACTGTGAGCTCCTTTGCGTTCAAATCATTTCAGCACTTTCTATCCTACTATGAGAGGAAATAGATGCAGCTTTCAGATTGCACCAACTTATAATTCATTAACTTGAGATGTGGGTTTTTACATTTTTAAACCATCACTTGAATTAAGTCATTGTGCTTCGTATGCGAAATTCGGTTCGATTATGAAAGTTAATATCTTAAAAACATCACTCATTTAGAGTTCAAGAGGCTACTTAAAATAACCTGCTCTAATGAGTTTCTCGACAAAATGCTAACATGAGCAAACAGATATTTAAAGACAATGCTCTAATTTAATTTTGCTCTCCCTTCTTCGTTTCCTACTAAAAATTTCCACACGCCTGAGCTAGTCTATTTTTGAAGCGAGCCACTATGTAATTGATCATTTGAAAGGATTATAATTATTAATCGTTTCAAAAAGGTAAGTGTAACAGTGTACAAATTTAAAATGATTTTAATACTACAGTTTCTAGCTCCACCATCTAAATAACTAATTAATAAGTATGTGGACAAGATTGAGGAGAGTTTAAATAGTTTGTTTAGAAGTAAATGACGTAATTAAAAGTATTTTTAATAATCTTAAAAAATGAATAAAATCATATAAATATGAGATAAAATTCTTCAAAACAATATCTACCACAGTAAACAAAATACTAATTTTAAAAATTAATCAAATTCTATACAAAAGTTAAAACGAGGTATTTTTCGCATAATTTAGCGTGGCACTTACGAATTTAGCTAGTTTGTTTTCTGTATATTGTGCTGATTTCAAGCATTTCCATGTCAAGTCGGGTTATTACTTCGGAGAGTCCCCTAACAACCACAACTGAGTCTGGAGCTCAACCGGTAAATAATATTAGACGGCTATTGGAATAACGTGAAGACTTAACTCTATTCTTTTCAGACTCTTGTATTGCGTTCAACCGTTGTTGACACTCACGATGGAGGAGAACGTCGGCATGTTATAACGTGGGCACCAGGAACAGTTAATAATGAGGGTATGGGGAAAAAGAAATCAAAGTGCTGTTGCATCTTTGAGAAGCCATATAATTGGGATGATCCTTCTAGCTCTTCTTCTGATTCAGACGAAAATGACGATGATCCGAATCCGAGAAGGTGCACCGAAAACTGTCGTGGTCACACCAAACACTGCTACACTAAAAAGTCCGCTTCTAAACAGAAGGAAGCTCAGTCTGGGTCCACCGTTGTTATTGAATCCGAGGAGCAACAATATCCTATTACTCCCCCAGTAAAACACCATGATGAATAATGGGTGCAATAATTCTATTTTATTTCTTGCTCATAGACAGAGTTATTACAAAATCACTTTTAAAATCTATTGTCTCCTTGGTTGTCGTTTCATAAATTTACTTTGCTATTTAGTCCAAAATCAACTTGGATTTGGTTCTTGCTTTAATGCATATCTTCCGATGTTTAAACGTAACCGATTCTTTTGCATTTTGCATGTTTTTTGCTTCTTACCCTCAAGTTTATCCTAAGAAGGCGAGAATTTATACTTTTGGTGACTCAAATCAGAAGATTTTAGATTTGAAACTTTAGACTATCAAGTAAAATTTTATTATCTGACACTTTTTCTTTGAGTTTAAATATATTGCCCTCTGTCATTAGATGTTTGGCTGAATCTCTCGTCTTTATGTTTCGGTTCTATCCTCTCCACGATATAATTAGATGTTAGCCCGTTTGTTATGTCCCAATGCTTTATTTTTTTATTCGGAGTCATCATTTCTCACTTTTATTTTTGTACTTTTAATTCTGAAATGATTTATTTGTTGCATTAGTTACGTTTGCAGCATAATGAAACTTTATGTTCTATTTTATTCGAGAAATTTCCTGTTTCTCCCTTCCCATAATCCTTAAAATTTTCTTCGGAATAGATTTTGGGCTATTTATTTAAATGCGCTTATTTTCATATTAAGCGCAACTGGCTAAAGTTTTGGCTATTGCTCATTACCTAAGTTCTCTTGACATTGAATGGAACTATTTCGTTAAACGCTGATTGCATGTTCAGTATTTTACGTGGTTATCTATCCCCCCCCCCCCCCCCCCTCGTGCTAGCTGAATCGACATAGAACTTTTAAATCTTGGTCTCATTTGTATAATCAGCATTTTAAATTATTCCATTAGCGGTGAGGGATATATTTTTTTATTTCCGTGGTCACGAGATGCGTAAATTGCCAACCCATTTGGGGTTTTACAGCTACTTCGATGAATTTGGTCTAAATCGCGTCTTAAATACTTTTTTTACCGATCGCCTTGAGTTTGATGTCGGAACGGATATGCCTTCCATTGTCAATACAATTGTAAAATCATTTTTAGATTGGCACTTATTGCTTTAATAATCCACAGAATAACGACATTGAAAAGCTTGGTTATGGTCCTTTATCCAAATCAGGCACATGATTCGGACTGCTAATATTGTCAGAGTTCAACATTTTATGTCAAATTGGATGATTTACCCCGTATAACAATGTTCCAGCGATCTGTGGTGCAGATTTTCAAAAATTGCTGCGTAGTTCCATGGTTTTCACGAGAGATTCGCATTAATATCTGCTGGAGATTTATTCGCGAATCCGTGTGAAAGCACTGGTAGCATATGAAGCTTACCATTGTGCATAGTGCAGCACTGTTATAAACTTCTTTTTACTTAGGTATATGCCTCAATGCCAAAGTTTCTAAGATATTATTGAGCCGCGGCAGAAAATTATCCTTAGACAATGTGAACCTTATCTATTATGTCACTTGTGGTGATGTGGTAGCTAGTGTACCCAACTGGACCACCGATCCCTATAAGCAATCGATTCCTATATAGAGTTGAGCTGATTCCTAGATGAATTGTGGCTTCTCTGAATAGGACGACGTCCAGCTGTATACCTCGAGCTGATTCGTTTCATTCTCTTGACAAGTCATTGAGTGGGTTTAGAAGAATGTTTGAGTAGGACGTCTAGTGGAACAAATTTAATTCTTTTATATGTTTATTTGATGAAGTCTTCTTAATCGTACCTGTTGTCAGGATACGTTTATGCTGTTAGATGCCGAAAACGAAATCCTGATAATGATTAAATAGAGCATGTTCTATCACAGATTAAGTAGTTTAAAATCAAAGTGAGTCTTCCATAAGTTTCCAGTGGAATAACATTTCTTTTATGTTCTAGAATCTATTCAACTCGCCTTTTGTGATGCTCTCAAGGTAGTCATTAAAGTTGACTTTCAGTGAATCCGATTTCTCCACCTTCGTAAAAGCAAAATTCGTCTTAGAAACTGCTCTCGAAAAGCAACTTTCGAAGCCATTTAAATTTATTTTTATTAAGGGAGAACCAAGTATCTAAAGGAATGCCAATTAAGCCTATGACTCCCCTTGTGAAACAGCCACTCCCAAATGAGAAGATTAGGAATGAAGTCTTGTCGTTGAATACTGCCAACGTTACGCTTTTCGCTGGATGTTAGTTGCTGGTTGGTTGGAGTTTGCACGCAGGGCTACACTTACTCGCTACGCGATTGGTATCACTGCCGCACTTTTAAGAACATTCTAACGTGCGGGACGATTATTTTGATCAACCTTGAAAGCTTTGTACATACTGCAGCATCAGTCGCTCAATAACTAAAATATGCTTCCTGAGGTGACCACTACGAGATCAAGATAACTAGGTTTAGGTGATAGAGCCAACCAAACTAAACATTTCGGAAACAAAGGGCTGTCTTTCATTGAGCTTGAGGATTAGCTAATTCAAGCTTGATGGCGATATGGAAAGCGTCAATGACTTCTACTTTGGGCAGGTGGTATCGATTCTTCCGTTTGATTGACTGGAAGAAATGAAATTGCTGGAATAGGTCAGGAGTGACAAATTCTTGCTTTTGTAAAATTAGTGTACATCAGTAAAACTTCTCTGAATAACCATGAATAGGGTATCATAAATCAGTTGAAGAGATTTGCAAAGAACAACATGGAGAAAAACGTTGGAACAGGATTTCAAGTCCACTTGAATACAAGTGGGTTTAGAAATGGGGAGGGTCGGTATTTATGAGCGTAGACGCGGGTGGCTTGTGAGTAAAATGCAGTTGTGCTGATCCAATTGGTGCCAAGCAAATTTGTGAGTTTGAAAGGGAATAGGCTTCAATTGGATTTAACGATATGCAGTCTTAGTCAAAAGCGTAGCTAATGTAGTAGTCCATCACTTTAAGAAAATACTAGTGGTGGTCTCATTAGATAAATCATCCATTGGAAAAGCGTCTTGTGAACGGGAGAAAAATGGTAAAAACAGACTAGAAGATAGGTGAAACCAGTGGCGTGTGTAAAAAGGACCAACAATATTAATTTGGATGTTGTCAAATTTGATAACGAAAATGATTCGTGCGCAATCTCTGGCAAGTTTGGCATGTCTGGTCCGATTTGCGTCTTTGCAACAGTACGGCAGGGCAAGACGAACTGAAACGACAGTTGTGTTACAAGTTTGCCAGAGTGGGAAAGGCAGTGAAGAATTTCGAAAGTCTGGTGGTTGAAGGGTTTTGAACAAAAACAGTCGTGACATGCCAGTGAAAGCATCACACGTCATCAAAAAACTGAATTTATTAACCATAAAACATCTCTTAACTGAAGAATAGCTGGACAGTTTCTAAACTTCTGGAGTCTATAGTGGTGCAATTCTATTTTCTCACCGCAGAAGACCTGTGATCCCACTCTCTACAGAAGCTGAACTTTGGAAAGCGCTTTTCCTAAAAGGACTTTGGGATTATGATTAACAATGGGAGAACAGAAGTGCCGAATTAATAGCGGTAATAGGAGTCACGAAAAGCCATTCTAATAAATTTACTCCTTTTATGAAGGTGATTAGCCTGATATGGATAAGAAGATAACTTCAAACTATCATTACCCCACTGTATATCAAATCCGACCACATCCCAGTACTCATCTTACCTTTTCCTACCTTTGTGTCTTCCTGTCTCTTTTACTTCTGTGAACCGCTCTTCTGTTCCCCCCTATCGACTTTTTCTCATGTTGATATTCCTTCCCTCCTGCGAAGCCCAAAGTCAACTAAAGTGCTAATGATAACTATCATAAAGTCTGCCATTTGAAATAACTGATTGGATTTTTTAGGTACGATTTGAGTTACAATCGATTATCGGTCGGAAGGAGGAAAAAATCTCAAATGGATGAATGCCTAAATGCACGCGAAAGTTGATATGAAGTAATTATATGTTATAATTTCTGCAATAGACAATGAAAATTGCTCACGAAATCGCTTTTATAAAATGTCACATGAATTAAACGCAAATAGGACATAAAGACGTTTAAAAGCATGACATTCACTCATGTACTTTACCAGTTACATATCTGTTTAGTGTTCTGTAATAGGTCAATTGAAGAATCTGGAGACTCATTAAAGTTGATTAACACAACGTCAGAGAAGAGTTGTCCGCGCTTCCATTCATCCTATTAAGTGTGAGGAAAGGAGATCGTGTGGGGGCGTATGATTAACGCTTCTTACTAACTCTAAGGTTCCAAATATGAAGGTGTTGATCGGAAATATTGAATGACAAAACTGCCTATCTTGCGGCCACTTAGATACCAACCTCAACATACTTGAAGTTCGATGACCGAAAAGATAGAATACTTCTGATTGGTTAAATACCTATGCAAGAAATCGAATTGGAATTTATTTCATTAGTTGAGCAAAGTGAAAATTCTCACCAGAAACAGCACAGTAATGATAGCATTTAATATTTAATCTGTGAAATAAAAAAAAATTGGTTAGTTACTATTTCCCGTGCAATCTTTACTGGCCACCACTCCTATTTATATAGTCGATTTATGAAACTGCCATACACGATCGTAATTTAATTACTGAGTCCGTGATCTCCGCTTCTCCAGACCTCTGCTTTACGTCTAGCTCCTCATTTTTAAATGGTCAATAAAGAACTAAACCTGAACCCTAGTTCATTGGCCATGATCCACTAGTACCTATGCCATCAAGATGGCATTTAAATGCATCAGACCTGATTGGACATTTTTGCACATCAGAAAAATTACACCAATTAAAAATACGCTAAAAATCGTTGTTAGTCCCACTCACCTGGCCCTAGTTCCAAATGCATATAAATATATTTTTCTATTCACCTTATGTATACATCTTCACGTGATTAACCTGAAAAGACTTGCTATGCTAATAAGCTTTGATCTTTGCCCAGTAATCTCTATGGCAGTTCATCGCATTTTTGGAAAGACTTCCAGAACTGGCTAATATACCGCAAAGA